CAGGACAAACCCTAACCCTAACCCTAACCATAATGAAGGATGAACCCTAACCCCAACCCAAACCCTAACCCTAACCCTAATGCAGGACCAACCCTAACCCTAACCCTAACCATAACCCTAATGGAGGACAAACCCTAACCCTAACCCTAACCCTAACCCTAATGCAGGACCAACCCTAACGCTAACCATAACCCTAATGCAGGACGAATCATAAGCCTCACCCTTACCCTAACCCTAACCCTAACCCTAACCCTAATGCAGGACCAACTGTAACTCTAACCCTAACCCTAATCCTAATGCAGGATCCAGCCTAAAGGTAGGCATTTGGTTTCTGCAACAAGCAGTGTAACTTTGGAGTACCTGTGGGGCTGGCAGTGACTGTCTGTGCCCTGGTCTGATCGCCTCAGTCCTGTTTCCTCCTCCTTCACTTCCAACCCTTATCTCCCACCTTAACCCCAGGCCCTTCACTAGTAATATTATTGGTACAGAAATGGGCCAGTCTCTATCTTACTACTCTGCATCTTGCTTTTCTTTTCTTTCTTTCTTTATTGATTAAGGTATTACATACGTGTCCTTATCCCCTCCACAACCTCCCCTCTTCCCCCACTCATGCCCTCACCTCCTTTATGTTTGTGTCCATTGGTTATGCTTATATGCATGCATACAAGTCCTTTGGTTGATCTCTCCCCAAAATATGTATTTTTTAAATTGCTTTTAAGAGGAAGGGAGAGGGAGGCTTTTGTTTTTTGTTAATCCTCACCCGAGGATATTTTTCCATGATTTTCAGAGAGTAGAAGGGAAGAGACACAGAGAGAAACATCATTCGGAGAGAGACACACTGCCTGGCTGTCTCCCCCACGTGCCTTGCAACTGAGGTACATGCCCTTGACCAGAATCAAACCTGAGACCCTTCAATCCACAGGCCGACACTCTATCCACTGAGCCAAACCAGCTAGGGCTGCATCTTGCTTTTCAATACTTCAGAGATATAACCTTCCCATGTCTGAATCTCATTTTTTAACGAGATGGACAAAATTTATGTAGTCAGGCCCTTACTGATGGACATGTGTTGCCAATTTTTCACTATTAATGCAATAAACATCCATACATATATTTTTATGCCTATGTGTGAATGGTTCTATACGGGATTCCTGGGTCAAAGAATATGGACCTTCTATTATCCTTTGTAAGAAAAATGTTACTTTTTATAATGGGTCATACTTTCGAAAGTACAAAAGTACACCCAGATCCCTTATTTGAGGGTGAGCAATGTTACCTATTTCTTGCACTTTCTTCCAGAGATATTTCATGTACATGAAAACAAGTATTTATAAAAATGACCCCCCTTTCTACACAAATGATAGCATACTATGCATAAAACATGTTCTGTACTTTTTATAACCTTAATAATATGTGCTAATGATCATATCATATCTGTATATAAAGAGTTTCTATATTCCCACCTATAGCTGCAGGGACACCACTCTTCCTGTCATTTCCCTATTTTTCTATCTGCTGTCGGTCTATATCTTGTCGACTAGGAGTTCTTGATATATTTCTGAATTTGTCATTTGAGTTGCAACTATCCTTCCTCCAATTTTTTATTATATTTTACTATATTAACTTTTTATGATATTTTAATAGTTAAGTAGTTGAATAAAATAATCTATTATATTAAGGCTTCTTAGTTTTCTATAGTATTTCCAAATCCTTTCTCACATTGATGATGTTAAAGAAAAATCTCCTATACTTACTTATAGGACTTTTAAGTTTATTTGATACATTTAAATATTTATTTACTTGAGATTTACCTTGGTGGAAGGGGTTAGATATAAATCCATGACATGGAGATTTAAAAATGGTGACAAATATTACGAAATTTCCTCCCAAAAGTCTATTTCAGCAAGAAATACCTATTTCTCTCACTAACCACAGATATTGTAGTCTACACTTTATTTTGCAATGACAAAATCCAGAATATTCTGAAAATTAAAAGTTTTCTGCAGCTCATTTAATGGCAAAACTTGACCTGAATTGACATAAATTTATGATGTCTCTTCCCACAGAATATGATGCTCATGTTATTTCATAGCAGAAAATTGACAGTGATCTAGGTTGCTGGCCTGGGACTCTCAAGAGGCGTTTATATATACAGACACACCATTATTAACTTTCTAAAAGCTCTCATCTCTGATTTCTGAAGCTCTAAGGATTTGGTTAAGGGAATGTGGACTGTGTTCCCATTTTAATCTTTACCGGCATTGCAGGTGAAATGTTTTGCGTTGCATTTCATTGATGACTTAGGAGGCTCTGCTGCTCATTGCCTCACTAGCCCTTGTCCACTGCTGGACTCGATTGCGGAGGAGCTATTTATATGTGTAAAACATTTTTCTTAGTCCGTTTTCCGTAATTTAACTTTCCCCTGGTGCTATTCCCCATACAGAGGGTTTAACTGAGCCCTGTTGTGAGGTTAAACCCTTTATGGTTTGGGGGCTTGATGTCCTCCATAGGAAGGCTTTCTCCACACAAAGATTAATAGAATATTCTAGGTTTCCTTCCGACACTTTTATAATTCAGTTATATATTTTTAGATGTTTAATTCACCTGATTTTTTTCTGGGTATGAGGTAGATATCTACTTTTATTTTATTTTCAAAATAGAAAGGAATTGTTTATACTTTCTCCTGACTTCAAAGCCACATTATCATACAATAAATACCTACATACACAGGGGTCTGTTTCTGGATTCTATTGTACCCCATTTATCTACATGTCTATTCCTGCACTCAGACCACACTTTAAATTACAGTGAAAACTTATGGCATGTTTTGATAACTTCTGAAACTCTACATTTTCTGTAAATATGCAGTTGTTTTAAATATAACCAATACATATTATTTCTAGAAAAATTTGAAAGTACTGAGAAAAGAAAATAATATTCATTTAAAATTCAATACTTTAGGAGACATTTTCTATAACACATATATGATATAGATTCAGACACATAGCCATATACATTTTATATTTTTACAGAAATGAGACTATAATCCACAGTCAATAACCTAACTTATTTTTCCCCCATGACCATTTTTCCATTTCAATACTGTGTTTTTGTATCATTATCTTTAATAAAAATAATTGGGCATCAAAGTTTACTGAATGGATACAGCAAAGCTCTCTTTGATTAACTGCTTTATTGGATATTAGGTTATTTCCAGAATTTTTGCTGAACAAAGCTGGTAATAAAAATCCTGTTTGTGTTTACTGGACTTTATTTCAACACTTATTTTCACTTGGACACTTTGGAGAAGGATACTAAATGGCTTAAATTATTAAAACCTGTGGAAAACTAGATGATTAAAAAAGATTAAAAACAAAACAAAACAAAACAAAACAAATACCCCAAAGCCCAGGGACCAATTAGAAGGGGTTTGCCTAGGGACCTGGAGTCCTCCTGAGTGAGCCCATGCCGTGAAGGAGCCTGTTACAGACATGGTTCCTGGCCACCTCTTCCTGAAAGCGGAACTTGCCGAGGACACTGTTCACTCCAGCTGTCCTTGCTCGGCTCCGAAGCCTTGGGTGGCTCTGCAGTGTCTTCCCTGAGCCTGACACTCAGGGCCTCTATGACCAGGCCACCCCCAGTGTCATCTCGTCTCCCAGCCATCTCCTTGGGGATTCTGCACCAAGGTCAGGCATCAGCTATTTTTCCTGAAACAACTTGCTCTTTCTAGCCTGTGTGCTTCTGTCTGTCTGTCTCCCCCGCTTCCCCACAAATGCCATTTCCTTCATGGCGGGTCTTCCGTCACCCTAAGCCAGGAGCTATCTTTGTTTTTTGTGCTTCCATAGGCACTCACGTTTGATTTTATGTATATTATATTCTAACTTATCTTCTCTACCCAACTAATAAAACATTCAGCCACTTTTAAAATGGACGTTACAGGCTGCCTCCCCGGCTTCCATTCCGTCACCTTCATTGGGGGGAGCCATGAAGTTTGGGTGGGAGAGACCTAGCTCCTGTTTCTAGTGCAGTCCCTGCATGTCTAACCCACTCGGGATCAGGGGTGAGCACATGACCAATTTGGTCCAATCCCAGTGAAACCGAGCACTGTGTCCAACGGCCAAGAAAGGCGTCTTGGAGACAGAACAGCTTTCAGATACAGTTTGGCCTGTTGGCCTGGCACTGAGGCAGCCATTCTGCTCCCAGGAGGAAAACCAGCCTGAGAAGGGAAGGGAGCAGCTGAAAGAAGATCTGAAAAAAGCATTAAAAAATGAATCTGGCCTGGCTGGCGTAGCTCAGTGATTGAGTGCCGGCCTATGAGCCAGGAGGTCACGGTTCAATCCCCAGTCGGGGCACATGCCCAGGTTTCGGGCTTGATCTCCAGTGTGGGGTATGCAGGAGGCAGCCAATCAATGATTCTATCTCATCATTGATGTTTTTATCTTTTTATTTTATATTCTCTCCTTCTTCCTTCCTCTCTGAAATAAAAATTAAAAAATAGAATTTGGAGTCTTGATCAAACTGAGGCTGGAATGTGGCTACCTCTGCAAGTTCCAGTTAGAGGAGCCTACAAGCTCCCTTCAGGTTTAAACTAGTTTTAGAGCAGGGTGACTGCACGCTCTCTGGGAGGCTGTCCCAGCCAGCCAGCCATGCACTTACCTTCTTTGATAATGTCGATAATGTCATTGGCATTGAAGCTGAGTTCGTCTGTGTCCTGAGCGTCGTAGGCATACAGAGCCTTGCACTGTGGCACCTGAGGCTTGGGCTTGGGCTGGGGCTTGGGTCTGCCCCCTGCTGGGTTGGGCCTGCTGGTCGTCTGTCTCCGGACCCTGTGGAGAGAGTGGAGGCAGGTGAGAGATGGCACCTGACAGGGGCAGCAGCAGTTCCGTATAGTGGCCTAGACCAGTGGTCCGCAGACCACTGGTGGTCCATGAGGTCCGAAAGGTTGGTGACCGCTGGTCTAGACCATAGGACCAGCACTGGCCTGTTCAAGTTCAAATCCAGCTCCATCCTTAGGAGGATATGTCGCCCCCTAAACTTTTTCTGATAATAAAACAGCCTCCCTGACAAGGTCATTGTAAAAGCGCGTAGATAGCCGAAACCGGTTTGGCTCAGTGGATAGAGCATCGGCCTGCGGACTGAAAGGTCCCAGGTTCGATTCCGGTCAAGGGCATGTACCTGGGTTGCGGGCAAATCCCCAGTGGGAGATGTGCAGGAGGCAGCTGGTCGATGTTTCTCTCTCATCGATGTTTCTAACTCTCTAACTCTCTCCCTTTCTCTCTGTAAAAAATCAATAAAATATATTAAAAAAAAGCGCATAGATAGCTCTCAATAACCATTAGCTGCTGTTACCATGTCCCCCACTATATCTATATATCTATATCTATATATATATCTTTTCCACGATAATAAAACAGTCACAAATCTACCCCCTCCCCAACTTTGGACACAGAATTTTTGCGGGTACCACAGAAGCCTCTCCTCAGCTGCCATCCCTCCCAGAATGACCACCCTCCCGCCCACCCTCCCACACTTTGTATTAATAATCTGGTTTCCTTTGTAGTTTTACAACACACGTCTCCCTAAGCAACCCACGAAAGGAATCCCATTCTACTAGCACTCACTCCATTTTGGGGATGTAGCCTGTTGATGTGCGGAATTTTAGTTCATTCATTCTCATTGCTTTATACCACTCCACTCCGTGCATATGTCCCAATTTCCTGACCCACTCACTGGGATGATTCCAGCTTTATCACAGAAATGCTACAGGAAATGCGCTTGTGCAAGAGCTCACCCAGAGCCGCTTCTCACCTTAGCACTGCTGACATTTTGGGCCACCTGTCTTTGCTGTGGGGCTGTCCTCTGCACTGTAGGGTGTTTAGCAACATCACCGGCCTGTCCCCTCTGGATGCCAGTGGCACCCGCCTCCCCTTGGTCAAGATCATCAAAAACATCTCCAGGGCCAGAACCCTAATCCAGCTTTCAGTGTATGCTTCCAATACACTGCTGCCTCCGGTCACCATTCACACACTGTCTCAGGCATGTAACTATCGCTTCTTCCTATTAAGGGAGATCTTTAAACTTATACCTGAAACAACTATTAAGTATGTTCACGAAAGTATTTAGAGAGAAAGGAAAAGGAAATAGAAATATAGACCCTTCCCCCTGCCCCTTTACTTAAGGACAAACCAGAGGAAAGTTAAGCTCCCGATTTCCTCTAAGAGGGTTGGGCTGAACTCAACATAACCAAGGCTGGGGCTGGCCTGTGAGCACCTGCTCTCACCTGGGGGAGGGAGGAGGAAAAGGGAGGGTCTCTCCTTGGGCCTGAGTTTTGGAAGCAGAAAGCACACCCGGTTTGGAGCTGTGCTCTCAGGAGGCCAGCGCCCCAGTGTCCTCGCTGAGGTCCTGTGATGCCAGGTGCTCACTGGGTGCCACGAGTAAGTTGGATCATGAGGGGGTGCGTAGGAGAGGGGCACTGGGTGTCAGCAGGGTGGTAGGGCTGTTCCCAGCAGGGGTGGGGTTCCTTGAGTGCTGCCTGGGGCGGCAACCCCAAGGTTACACAGGCTTCATTCAGCCTCCTCAGGTCAACCGTGTCCCCACCTCCAACCCCAGCAAGCACTTCGATCACAGAGGAAAGGTGCAGGAGAGATCATTTGCATACATCATTTCCTCCCTGGTCCCCTGGCAATCCCCTGTCCCTGCTTGAGATGTGCTGGCTTCCCTGAGAGCTGGCCGGGCTCACAGGCCTTTAATTAAGAGACCTGTATATTAGGGATGTCAGCATTTGGTTAATAAGAGCCCCTAGCCTGCATACCAGCAGTCAGCTGATTTCCCAGCAACAGGGAGTGGGGCGGAGGGCGGGGTGAGTGTCAGAACACCCTGCGAGGGTGGGGGATAGGGGGGGTGGGGGGGAGAGGCACACACACACACACACACACACACAC